AGAGCCGACCAGCCAAGGAGTTATCTCAACATACACCTACCAGACCAACTTAATGATGACAGGAGGGGAGGCCTGCCATGGTTTTAACGGGACGGAGGCGGCCTTGGCATTAGCCCATCAGCCATTTCTGCAGGGTGTCACCCCTGCATACTCAGGTGACAGAATACCACGACCACCAGCCCAGGGTTCAAACTGATCCATCTAAGAGTCCAAGCTATTTCCGTGTCGAGCAAAGGTCAAATCCGTCGGAGTTCTAGAAAAGGCCGTGAAGGCCGCAGGTCATTTAGCGTTACCCAGGATGCACCGCGTGGAGGCGAACCTGCTCGACAATCCCATGACATCCAGCTTTTCGTAAAATTTTTCTAGAAGTTTCAGCACAAATTGTTTTTTTAATGGATATATTTACGTTTTCAATAATCTTTGAGGGCTGATTATATTTTCGGACGGCTAGATCGCGGTTTTGACGTTAAAATTCCGGTTTTTTTTTAATTTTTTACGACGCCCAATTTTTCTGAAACTTTCGCCATCTTTCCACAACTTAATGATAATATCTCTTTCCGACAGACTAATTTCTTTTCCTTTGGTTTCCATTTTTTTAAATATTATTAAAACGCGTCACAAGCTCTTTAAACGACTAATTATATATAAACACAATAGAATATACGCAAAACGAACGAACAAATTCATGAGAAGTAACGGTATTTCAAATTCAAGCTAACTGAACGCCGACTTAATGGTTGTTGTTGTTGTTGTTGTAACGGTTATCTAGTCCCCGCTTGGATTATAAGTGATAGTTTGGTTGTCGTCGAGGTCATCTAACCGGAGGCCCAAGAAACAGGCAGTTTCGACGGGGTCAGACCATAGGGAAAAGGGTGTTAGGTGAGCTGGGCTTGTTGGGCATGCAAAGAGGTAGTTAGTATCATGTGGAGCCTCATTGTACGCAGGACATATGTTTGGAATGTCAGGGTCGATTCTAAATAAGTAGAAGTTTAACCTACTACAATATCCAGAACAAAGTTGCGCGAGGGTCACTCTGGTTTCGCGAGACAAGTCGAGCTCTACGTCTGCTATGGGTGGTGGTTTGACTCCTAGTACGCCATTCACTGAGAGGGAGTCGATGAAGGTGTTAATGGCTCCGCTGTGAATGGCGGTCAGTGCTTGTCTGTAGTTCGTTGCTTCCGAAGTCCGGTGGGCGTACCGTCTGATGTCGTCGACGTAATCAAGGAATGACCTCTTGATGTTCCTAGGAGGCGGTTCTGCTTCAAGCAAACGACTGCAGGGGTGATTTCTACGAAAACACTCCGGCAGAAACTGCTCGGAGAGGAGCTCGTTATGTTCCTTAACCGGAAGCATAGGGGCCTCACTGTGCAGGTGTTCTATAGGGGACATCAAAAGGCATCCCGTGATAGTCCGGAGTGCAGTGTTCTGACAAGTCTGAAGCTTCCTCGTCTGCGTTGTACTACATCCAGGCGACCATATTGGTGACGCATAGTTTATGACCGGCCGGCCGATTGCCTTGTATGTTGCCAACAACGTTTCTTTGTCTTTTCTCCAAGAGCTGCCGGCAAGCGATTTGAAGATTTTGTTGCGGCTCTGTACTTTGAAAGTTATCGCGGTCATGTGAGGAGTGAAGGAGCACAGACTGTCCAATGCTACGCCTAAAATTTTAGGATCATTAAGCTTCGGAATTTTTGTGCCATCAACTGAAATGTTCAGACTTAATGGTGTCTATCTTTAATTGTTCTTACACTAAAATCCCGTTATAACAAAAATTAAAATAGGAATTTACATTTTTGTTTTAGCATTTTGAACTTAAGAATATAAAGAAGAAATACATTCAGAAAATTTGAACTGAATTACCTATTTACATTGTGTTTTTATTTCACTTAAAAAATGTGTCGGGTGAATGCAGACTTTATTGGCTATATGTATGTTTTTTGAGTGTGCTATTCCATCAGCTGTATCTGTTTACTTTTTTGTTGTTAACGTTTAAGTGTCTAAAATTAAAAAATTATATTGATTTCATCAATTTTTTTGATATAATGGAAAGAAGCCACGATATTCAGGTAAATTAGGTTGAAGAAAAGTGAAATATAAAAATATTTTGTTGTTTCTGTGGTTGGAAATGATTTTATGCAGTGTAAACTAAAACACTGCTGTTTCAATATAAGGAAAGTTTCCACTTAAAGAATCTTTTATTTTATTTTTACCACTTTTTTACTACCAGCTGGTGAAGTGTAGAATATTACACAATATGACATACAACGATTAACGGGTGCTCACAAGTGTCATATTTTTTAACTATAGTAAATCACTCTTTTTTTTAAATTAATAACTCATTGACTAACCACTGCATTAATGAATTCTGCTAAACGCCTTGGCATTAAATCGATGAGTTTTGAAATTTCCTCACTGGAGATTTTACTCCATTCCTCCAACATTACTTCTTTGAGCATTCAATTAGAACTCCTAACTCTAATAAATCCCACAGATGATATAGAATTAAGATATGTTGATTTGGGTGGCATTCGCAACTGTTAAGGCACATAGAATAGAATAGAATATTAATATGAGGTTTTCACTGCGACCTAGGGTCTATTGTGCCCTCTCCTCCATCACATGCATTCTCAAAGTCCCTGAAAAACTCCAACAACTTGCTAGGTGCTATTGAGGCAATGTGATCCCTGTTCACATAAATGGAACCGAGGCCCTCGAGCCTGCGTCTACAAATTGCGGTGCAATCTAGAATCCGGTGTTCTGGTGTTTCCGGCCCCATGTCGCAGAATCGGCAGTTGCCACAAGAAGCTTAGGCACATTGTGTAGCAACCAAAGCCTTACAAAATCAGCAGTGTGCTTAGGATCGTAAGTAATCGTTCCTTAGACCCAATTTCTCAGCACTTTGCTTCAAATTGTCTTTGTTTAGATACATTGTCTTATCCATATTTGATTCAATAAATTCCATTCGACCCACTCCGTTGCTCGCCATGCACCCCCAAACCATTACACCGCCTCCTCCGTGTTTCACCGTTGCTATCGAGATTATTTCATTGAGCTCTGTGGTTCCCGCCACACTAACTAATGCCTTTTGATGCCAAACATATACAAAACTTGCTTTCGTCTGAGAAAATAACTTTTTCCTAAAAATCTGAATAAAGTTAGCTAACGAATTTGTTGTACAGATCGCAAGACACTTTTCAATTCCCTACATGTCAAATTCCTCCGTCAATTTAAAATTTTGTACTACTCTCTGAATAGAAGAATGTGTTCGTCCAACAGTTTTACCGATTTCGCGATATGTTTTGTGTCCTTTTTACAATTTAACGATGATTTCTCTTTCTCCTGCACTGACTTCTTTCCTTTTCGGTGTCTGTGTTTATTTTTCATTCAAAACGTAACTAAATGTTTTAAATGTAACTATATTTAATTTTCCTAACTTTAAATAACTGAACTGTAATATTGAAAATAAGTAAAATCAAAACAAAGTTCGCGCAATTCTCTTTTCTTTGCTAGTATGCAGACTTTTTCTTTGTTGCCAATAGCATTTTGTGAAAAAAATAATCGATGTTTTGTTGTAAGGAAGAGCTAAATTCGGGTGTAACCGAACATTTTATACTCTCGCAACTTGCTAAGATCAAAGCCGGGAAAGTTCTTTTCACCTTTCAATAATATATAATATCTGACAGGTTGACCGATATATTCGGTAAAAGTTCGCAATAATAACTGTGGTCCAGATATTCGATATCTGGGGCTTATTGTTTAGAAAATTTTTGGTCACAAGGTGGCATACTTTAAACGCATTATTCACGCAGTGGTTTACCCCGATACAATCAAATGTTGCTTGATTTGCACAGTGGAAAGTGAAAGAATCAGATGGAATTTAAAATGATGTTATATGGGAAATAGGCGTGGTTGTAATCCGTTTTCGCACTATAACATAGAAATATGAGAAGGACGTTATGTACCGAATTTGGTTGAAATTGGTTAAGTAGATCCCAAGATATGCATTTTTACCAAATTAGTGCCACGCCCGCTGTCTAATTTTGAACGCGGTTCCTATAAAGTTATCTCATACCATCCCAGAGATAAAATAATGTCTCGGGCGTTTTAAGTGTTTCATTTATCGCGCTTTTAGTAGTTTTTAAAAGTACCGTTATACCCGATTTCACCCATTTTCACACTCTCTGTATCCTATTGTGGAGCTTAGCTATGACAATTTATTTGTTTTAGATTAATGGCGTTTTTTGGGCGTGGCAGTGGTTCGATTACGCCCATCTGCAATATCAAACGTCTAACGGTACCAAGAAACATGTGTACCAAGTCTCATAAACATATCTCAATTTTTACTCAAGTTACAGCTTGCACGGACGGACAGACACAAATTTACCTATTTTAACTCGTCTTTTCATCCTGATCATATGTATATGATCATCTTAATATATATAAATCTCCCGGCACAATGTTTGTCCTCAACGGACTGCTAAACCACTTAACCGATTATAATAAAATTCGCACACCATGTGCAGTTCGATCCAACTTGAGAGATAGAATAGTTTAAATCTCAAATTATAGTCGCAATTTTAATTTATTGCTAATTATTTGTCTGTTATTATTTGGATCACAATTATCTGTTAACTCCAAATGATTCTAACAGATGTCGATACCTTTCGACTGGTTGAGTAAGTAATCAATAGATGCGCTGCTATGGTAAATCTACGAACGTGTCATATAAGCTACATTTAACACATAATTACCACATGTTGTTGACGCTATAAAATTAATTAAATTTATTTTGTAGTGAACGGAATACCGTATAATTCATTATTCCACTTTTAAATTTTCTTAATTTTCTCTTATTACCTTTTGACTGGGTTGAGTAAGTAATCAATAGATGCTGCTATGGTAAATCTACGAATTCATATAAGCTACATTTAACACATAATTACCACATGTGTTGACCTATAAAATTAATTAAATTTATTTTTGAGTGAACGAAATACAAATATAATTCAATTATTTCCGCTTTTTAAAATTTTGGTGTTAGCATAGCCGGCCACGTGTTACTTAGACTAAAGTGTAAATTGAATTCATATTATAATGAAGATAATACAGTGAAATTAATCCTGTTTTTTACTTATTTGTGCTTCATTGATCAAAACTTTATAATTTAATTTGAATATATGTATGTAAGTATTATCACATAATTATAAAATTTAATTAAAATGTCAATGAAAAAATGATACACAATTTCCTACACTTTTTCAATAGTTGTGCAAACCCTTCAGTTGGCAGAACAAATTGAATCAAGAAATCCAGCTAAAAGAATCAGGACAGCAGAAGGATTTTTCAATAACTGTACAACAATTTTATATTATTTTTATTTAACCTCCATTGAAAATTATTTTGCACTTATTATTTCAATGTGCTATGATAACATGTTTTTCAGTTCCTCTTTCTAATATTTAAACGATTAAATTAATAATAATTCAGTTAAATGCCACCGAAAAAATCTAACCTCAACAACGCGAGCAGCAAAGTGTCACGACGCAAACGTGTTGAAAGAACTCAGCAATTACCAGAACAAATCGAAACAAGAAATGCAGCTCAAAGAATCAGGACTGCAGAAAGTCGTGCACAAGAATCTCAAGAACAGGGTGACGAACGTCTGCAACAGAATTTTACGAGAACAAGAGCGGCACGAGAACGAAACATAGCTACAGTACGAGTACTAGATCGACAAAGGCAACGGATCAGCCGCTCATTAACACGTGCATCATTCGTTCGGCTTGCCTTTGAATATGCACCAGATATTAACTACTCAGAGCATTCAAAAATTGCTATCGGTGGAATGGATAAAGTATGTCAATATTGTCGGGCATTGAAATTTCGGAATGAAGCAGCCGGCATGCGCTGCGCATCAGGAAAAGTTGTGCTGTAACCTCTACCCTCTCCGCCGGAGCCTTTATTATCCCTTCATACTGGCAATTCAGATGATTCCAAATTATTTTTGCGTAAGATACGCAAATTTAATTCTTGCTTCCAAATGACGTCATTTGGGGCAACTAAAATTTGCGATCGTGCATACGATGGACGTAATTTTGAAACTACATTCAAAATTCAAGGCCAGGTGTACCATAAAATCGGATCACTGATGCCAATGCCTGATAACAATCCGAAATTTCTTCAAATTTATTTTACGGGCGATTGTGAAGAGCGCGTGACGACTCGGTGCCTGTATAATTTTATTGAACAAGCAGAGGAAAGAGCAATTGTGATATTATTGGAAAATTTTTTAGAAGATCACAATCAACTAATTCAATTGATAAAAAGAGTTTCGCCACGACTGCAAAATGACAATTATCAAATCGTCATAAAAGCCAACAAAGTACCATTAGGTGAACATGCTGGTAGATTCAACGCTCCAACTGTTGATGAGGTTGCTGTTATCATGGTTGGTGATCCAGTTGACAAAAGATCTATAAAAATTACACGGCGAGACAACACTGTCAGTACGATTTCGGATCTACACCGTTCGTATGACGCACTACAATATCCATTGATATTTTGGCAAGGACAAGATGAATATCACCTTAATATCAAACAGTATGATCCAAATACCGGTAAATTTGATTTGATGATGAATTATCTATTTACTTTCTCACTGTATGTATAGATTTTAATTTCGTATTGCATTTTATTTTTTATTTTTTTAGGTGATTACAGAAATAAAAAAGTTAGCTCAATGAACTACTATACACACCGAATAATGGTTAGACAACATCAAGAGAATTATATCCTTCGATATCGTCAGCTGTTCCATCAATACATTGTTGATATGTACGCTAAGGTCGAAAGCGAACGCTTGCAATTTCTTCGATTCAACCAGGCAAAACTACGATCGAAAGAACATATTCACTCGAGATGCTGTTCTGGAACATCGATGGAAATTTTCCAATGACATGCACGTAAGCTTTCATTTACCTTCAAGTACATCGGCAGTCCACGGAACATGCAGGAATACCAGATGCGATGACCACGTACGTCATTACGGCGACGATTTATTATTACATTCACTAATCCGGAATTGGGAAGAGATACAAACTTACTATTGCCAGGACAACAAGCCATTCATCGTCATGATTTACTGCACGTGGTTTAAACAAAATTGAAATCCTTATGATTTTATTGTTAAATATTCATTGGTATCACACGTTGTTGGCTGGCATACGATAGAGGGCAAAAGCGAGGTTTGCCTCATGCCCACATTTGGTTTGGCTAAGATAGACGTCCTGAAAAATCGATCAAAATTTCAGCCGAAATTAGACCCAATAATTGATCAGACTTATTTGATATTGTCACCAAACACATGATCCATGGCCAGTGGTGCCAACATGACGTTACACTGTGCATGGAAAATGGAAATGTAAAAAAACTTCCAAAGCCGCATACGAATGACACGATCACGGATATTGATGGTTATCCAAGGTCGCTGCAGAAGTATTGGAATGTGGCACACATTTCAATGCGACTGCCGAACTTTCAAATCAAGTTGAGTTTGATAATCAGTGGGTGGTACCACATCACCACTACTTTCAAAAATTTAAAGTCATATCAATGTTGAGCGTTCGAAGCTCCGAAACGACTCTAACTGAATTTTTACATGTCAAAACTGATGTGTTGGTCAAATTGCGAAGACATTGGTGTATGGTGATGTTCCACTTGTTCACATGAACAAACCAGTAAAATGAGACACGGACAAGAAAACCACATCCTTCATTACAGGCATATTCAAGCTAAGAATGGAGACTTACCGGTACATCCAAAGCAACGTGAGTGCTTCTATTTACGTTTGTTTTGGTGAAGTTCCCGACCAACGTTCTTTGAATTTTACGAACAGTTAATGGTATATTCAATACATACCAGGATGATGTCGTGAACTGCAATTAGGAAGACATAACAATTGGGACTTAACGCTATGATGCTGCGTTGAATAACACGAATAACATTCATCAGTTGTTTGCAATGTATTTTGACGAATGTTATCCCCGCAAGCACAAACTTGTGGGAAAATAAAATTGTATGACAGAAGACATCTTGCACCGAATTAGACAAACAAATCAATGCCAAAACATAGATTATACACCAAAGATGTACAATGAAGCATTGGTTCTTGATCGAGATTTATGTGTTCTATTTCACACACTTAATTCATTATGGTATGCCTCACCTAATCGTCCAGCACCGACTTATAACGATTTACAACAAGAAAAGCATGACCATGGAAGTTTAGAACAATTATAAACAGTGAACATTACTGATAGCAGAACAAAATTATTTATGATCGTGATTATGCTGGCTGTCGCTGAACAAGGCGGTTTTTCTTGGATGCCCCGAGTGAACCGGTAAGACATTTTAATATCGTTGATTCGGCCAAATATAGGTCAGCACAAAAATCGCATTACAGTAGCATCGTCAGGCATTGCGGCTACTTACTGGATGGTGGGCGAACAGATTCAACATTCGTGCCATTGGACGTTCATAATAAACCAGATGCAATGTGTAACATCAAAAGAATAGTGGAATAGCTGCAGTTTTGCGGAAGAGTTCTATAATAATTTGAGATGAGTGCACAATGGCACACAAATTCACTTGAAGCATTAAACAGAACTATGTTTAAACAGCAATAATAAAGTTTTGGTGGTGCTATCTTACTTTTATCTTCCGGCAGACCATCGGTTTACCTCGCCCATTTCGCGGATGAGATTAATGCTGTTTGAAAAATCATTCTTATGGCGAAGTGTTGAAATACTTCGATTGACCATAAATATGCGAGTCAATTGCAAAATGATCCATCAGCACAAATTTTCGAACAACTACTACAATATTGGAACGGTAAAATAGAACTGCAACAAATACGCAATGCATTAAACTACCAGACAATTTTTGCACTGTTGTTCAGGATAAAAATGAATTCATTCAGAGTATTTTCCCGGATATACAGAATATATTTGAATCATGAATGGCTAATCAACGGGCGATTTTGGCAGCAAAACGTTGATGTTGACGAAATTAACTCAGATACAACAGTTGTTACCAGGCGATCTGATGTCTTTAAATCAATCGATACTGTTGTTGATGAAAATGAAAGTGTAAATTTTCCGATTGAATTTTTAAATTCATTAGATATCCCTGGAATGCCACACATAACTTCGATTAAAGATTGGTTCCCTATTATTCTCCGTAATTTGAATCCACCTCAATTATGTAACGGTAATGCGTTTGGTCATCAAAAGATCACCGAAAACATTCTTGAAGCAACCATTTTGGTGAGAGTTAAAGGAAAAGTGGTCTGCTGCCACTTATTCTGATGATATCATCAGATTCTACTATACCCTTCAAAGGCTACAGTTTCCAATTCGTTTAGCTTTCGCCATGTCTATAAATAAATCTCAAGGTCAAACAATGTCCATTTGTGGTTTAGATTTGGAAAATCCATGTTTTTCTCATGGCAACTATAGTTGCGTGTTCACGTGTTGGGAAACCGTGAATCTATTTCTGTTAGCTAAAGACAGGTTAACAAAACATTGTATACGATTGGTGTTAAATTAAAGAAATTGAAGTATTTATAATTCAAAAATAGATATTATGTTTAAAAGTTTAAGACTGTCTGCTTGCCTAACTCATTCATGAGTTTAAGACATCATGTTATTTACTGTATATACTGTAATATACTTATTTGTTATAAAAATTAAATGGAAATAATAAATCTGATAAATTTTACTTTGTATGGATTTCTGCTTAATATCAAGGTAAACATTTTAATTAATTGTGTTTCAACGCTTTCCCTCAAATTCTAATCCAGTGAATTTGTATACCAACATCAACATTTTCGTCTTTGTTCATAAATAATTTCATTGTACTAAAGGGTTATAGTAGTAGAAGTCAAATAAGGAGATACCATATTTTTACAAATACCATCTGTGTGAAAAAGCATAGTGGACTCCGTGACTGATGTTCTCTTATTGTTCCTCTGAGATTGTTTACTATAATGTAATATAACAAAAGAAACAGCTAGTATATATATAAATAACCTTATATATTACTCGATTAGTTTTAGGTGATACAAACAACAGTTAAGGGAACAAAACTTTTATACTCTGTAGAAATATGTTGCGAGAGTATAAAAAGTAATCGGTTGGATAAAATTCAAAATAATGTGAAACTATTCGTAAATTATATGGTATACCTCTATAAATGTCGAGTATAAAAGTAACTAACTAAATGCATTTTTATGTTAATGAAAGTATTATGTTAGAGCACCTCGTACCCAGACCTTTTTGACAATATATACAATTAAATTGTATGAAAAACGAGAAAAAACGTTAACTTTAGGTGCACCGAAACTATAATACCCTTCACAGATACAAATAAAAAAGTTTTCCATGGAGGCACTTTACTCCGATCGTTCAGTTAATATGACAGCTATTTGTAATAATCATCCGATCTGTACAATTTCTTTGGAGATTGTACCATTGTCTTAAAAAAAAATCCATGCCAAATTTTGTGAAGATACCTCGTCAAATATAGGAGTTTTCCATACAAGCACTTTATTCCGATCGTTCAGTTAATATGACAGCTATATGTTGTATCTATCCGATCTATACAATTTCTTCGAAGATTGCACTATTGCTGTAAATAATAATGTATACCAAATTTCGAGAAGATACCTCGTTAAATGAAGGAGTTTTCCATACAAGCACTTGATTCCGATCGTTCAGTTTGTATGGCCGCTTAATGCTATAGTGATCTGATCTGAACAATTTTTTCGGAGATTAGGACAGGTGTGAAATTTCAGATCGTTAGCTTAAAAACTGAGGGACTAGTTTGCATATATTCAGACGGACGGACAGACAGACGGATATGGCTGAATCAACTCAGCTCATCATGCTGATCATTTATGTATATATGTATGTTATAGGTTCTGCGAAGTTTCCTTCTTGGTGTTACAAACTTCATGGCAAACTTAATATAGCCTGTTCAGGGTATAAAAACTTAATATACTGTTCAGGATATAAAAAGTAAATATTTCAACGTGCTAAGGAGACTTAACTTCTGAGTTGGTTTACTTCTACACACTGTCAAAGCACAATTATTTATTTCATAAATAACTAAATAATGATTAAAATGATTATCATAATGAAAAATTAGCAAGGATATATCTTTTTTGTTTAGCAAGTTTTGGCAACTCTTGCTCATTTGACATAATACTAAGTTTCTACAAGGAGGAACATGTTTTAATAATTTAATAGATAACGATTTGCTCTTAAAAAATTTAATTGAATGCATTCCAAAGGTAGAAATAAAAGTAAATTTATTTGTTAGCAAGCGTTAACTTCTTTCATTTCTTATCGAAGCGAATAAATCGTAAAATTTCCTTAAAATTACTCATATTCAAAGTTTTCTTAAAAAAATTAGACCCCATTTTTCAGACCATAGATACAAAAATTTTAGGTTCCTTGTTTGGTATGCTCCACATGCATATAAAATTGCAATAAAACTGCATAATTTTTCTTGAGATAGATCCCATTTTTCATCTGAGATCCGCGAAGCTTCTAGTTTAGTGCATGTTATAATTTAGTCTCCAACGCGGTTGATTCGTTATCAGTAAAATGCACTATATACTTACATCACCTTTTATTATACATATCAATGTACTTATTTTCATATAGTGACATTCTTCCAAAACCGGATTTACCTGCTTTATCAGTCCTATTTATGACATCGCCAGAAATTTCTTAGTGCTCGTGATCACTACCATCAGAATATGACTGTAATTTAATACTGCGAAGTTTTCATCGACGCATATTAAAGGACTTTGCTGAATCACTACTATCTTGTTTGCATACGCATCTCTAGAAATATAGGGGAGGGGAAAAAATAATTATATGGTGCTAATCA